GTGTGTGCGTGTGTGCGTGCGTGCGTGCGTGCGTGCGTGCGTGCGTGCGTGCGTGCGTGCGTGTGGGTGTGTGTGTGTTTGTGTTTGTGTTTGTGTTTGTGTGTGAGACTATGTCTGGAGGATGTTCTAAGTGCGAGGCCTCTGCAGGGCACGGTGCGATTCAGTATCAAACTGGATGTTCTAAGTGTGACAGGCAGGAGACCACAATTTACATTTTCCCAACATTTGGAGCCTCCAGGAGTGTCCTGAAGTCGATGGCAAAGCTGGAACGATCTAAGTGACTGTGCGTCACTATTTAGGTCCAAGAAAAATGTCCCCTTCTTCTGAGTCCACCTGTCCTCTCCTATTCATCCTGAATCCTCCTCAAAATTAATTCCCCACAAGATCATTTTCCTTGTTAAAAATCCAATTCAAAAACAGCACCAAAACAATTTTTTCAAGAGGGTTGCCCGTGAGCAACTCAGATCCCCAGTAGTCGGTTTATTCGGGTGGTTCTCTATTGTGTCCAGGCCCTTCTTGGCGTGCTTTGCCCGGAAATTCAGAATTGAAAGTTGGTTGATATGAATCGAAGTTGTGGCTGCAAAGGAAAAAGAGTTGAAAGTGTATAATTAGACTAATATGAATTGAAATCCTTATATACTTATCCTCAGATTTCTTTGGGGCTGGCCGGGCTGGAAGGGAAATCAGTTGAAAGTAGCTTGATGTGAATTGAAATCTTCACTTATCCGTACAGTAGATATGTGCTAGGTCAGAGCGGAAAATGAATTGAAAGTACATTGATATGAAATGAATTGACATGATATGAATATAAAACCCGGACTTGAGTTCATGACCCTTGGTTTCCCAAACTTGGCACACAAAAAAAAAAAAAACACGATTTTCATCCGCCTTCAACTGTTTAGGTGCTCCACCGTATTCAAGTGCGAATGCTGGGAAAACTTCAAGGTTGCGAGGCATCCAAGGATGTCTGACTTAGCTTCTTACTCCTCCGGGCTGCTGTCTGCTTTGGCACCTCGGAATGCAATGTTGGCTGTCCTCGTGACATGGTCATTCGCTGTCCTCGTGACACGGTCAGCCAATTTCTTTTTTTTGGGAACCCTGCCAGCTGGGGCGTAGTACTTCGGGTTCAAGATGCGCCTCTTCCAACACGATATCAACCACGAAGTTGCAAATGAGCCCGGCCAAGCATTGAACGGACGAGGAAGCCGAGGAAGCCCAAATAAAGTCGAGAGCTGCGCCTGTATGTGTCATAGCCAACCACAAAGTCACATCCCGGAAACCTCGGCGCAGTCTTTAAAGCTCAGAAGCGCAGTTGTTGGTTTCATCGGCCCAGGATAAAGATAGTATGTCTACCGGTAAACAAACATTCTTCCTTACACAGTGCTCCTCCTTATCCTCTTCATCTTCCCCTTGTCCAACCCCTCCTCGTGGATATTTGCCAAGGTGCTTTGGCATTGATTTTCAGTGATTTTGCGCACTTCGGATTTCAGCTGCTTCAGACTGTTTCCCCATTCTCAGGGTCTAACAAATCTGCTTTGTCTTGGAAGAGCATTGCCCTCGTGGCCAAAACACGATTGCCCCTCAAGGCTGCCTGGAAGCTACCAAGCAAGTTCCAAGCAAGCACCTAGCAGGTAAAATTACCAAGCAGATAGGACATCACAGTTTCCACCTTCGTGATGCGACTGCAGAGAGTGGCAACATCCACTGCGCCCTTGTCAGCATTCACGACCTCGAACATTCAGCCCATAATATCAAAGCCTCTATGTATTGTGAAGCAAAGCGGATACGGTCCACTCAACTTTGTTATTTTCAAACCGCTTCATTTTGGCAATAGGACGCCGGGGTGTTACTTTAGATGATCCAAGATGGGAAAGCTCAGGTTGAAGCGCAGAGTTCCAGAAATACGCTGTCAAATGACCTGGCAAGCCAAGAGAAGAGTTACACCCTGAGCCGCCATTTGCTTCATTTTCAATCAGGCTGCTTGCACCGTGAACCCCACAATCTGACGTCTACTTCTGAAGAAATCATGCACGCAAACTCAGTTTGCTCAATCCTCAGCTTGAGAAGATTGCGCCATCTAGGTTCTGGTCAATGGTTCAGGCATGGGGCTTTGAGATTGCACTGGCGCGCGCAAAAATCATGCAGTACATGCACCAACTCAGACCAAAACATGTTCACATGAATATCGATTAGGCTGTGTACGTGCGCAAGGTGTCTGGAACATTCTGCAACATTGCGAGTTTGAAACGTACAGCTGCACAAGGGAAACCACAGCGGCCAAAAGCAGCAAGAGCGAAACGAAGCGCAATGCAAAAAATTGAACAAAAACATAGTTTAAAAGCCCGGCCCTCCACTAAGCACAGCAATGCTTACTTCGAGGAAAATGCAACAGAGTCAAAGGGAGTCAAGACTAGAGTGAAAAGAGTGAGGCGGATGCTGGAATACATGAGATCTCATTAGTCCCGTAAGGCCCAATGGAACCTCCCAAGCAACTTCGCTGCTTGTCGCCCTATCTCCTGTTGATCAAGAATAGCGATGAATTATTCTACTATTGTAGATATCCAGCGTGTGCTTCACGGATCAACCAAGGCAGTCACTAGCACAACTCTTTGTCCTCATGGCCCTCATGCACAGGATTGAAAGACCCGGGCCTGAAAACCACATCTACCAGGGCGGCCACAAATGGGCAAATGTGGCAATGGGGGAGGAAAAACGGACATCGGAAGATTCCCTTATCTGGTTGCTGTTCAAGCTGTTTGTGGAATTGCCTTGCATCAAATGTAGACTTGTCATGGGTGAATATCGGCTTGAGCGCTCTTTCAGTGTCTGTATTCCACTATCTGCAATCTAGCAAGTGACAGTCTCTGGACATGCTGTGTCGCTGCTGGCCCCCATTGCGCAATACACATGCATCACATAAAAGCACTTGCAGCTGGACATTCAGGCTCATAAAAGGAATTACGTAACTCTGTAGTCTAAGGACTCAAAGGACTCAAAAGACTCAAAAGACTCAATGGTGTAGAGAACACGCTGGCAATGACCGCTCGGCTGAGCTCCATGCAGGAGCAACGAGTCTCTCGGAACCTCACCAGCTGGAAGACCTTATCCGCACACCGGCTCCATGCAAGGAAACTTGGTTTGACATGATTCATCGACTATTATTGAGGGGAGAGGATTGGCTGAGCAGCAAAGATGCAAAACCATGTCACAAGCGTCACTTGCCACTAGTTTCCGAGCCCTTGAAACTTCAGCAGCCACACTTGCAGTTGCTACTGTCGGTTGTCTAGTTTGCTCTGCGGAAAATCTGTGGTTCCCTCTGGTCTGGCACGGCACCCTGTTTTGCAGCGGGCATCCTTCCACTTGGGCAGATCAACCAAGCGCAAAGTGAAACTTCTAACTAACTGATTGCAGCGTTGAAAAGGAGTGTGAAGACACCAGATGCATGGACACGACGCACAAACGGTTCGAATCTTGTAAATAGGCTCACGCTGCACACGCAGCAGACTTCAAGATAGTTGGTCTTTCGACACAAAACGTGTTGTGAAATTGTGAGCTGCTACGCCTGATACTGTACTTTGCAAACCCTGCACTTTCACTGCCCCATGAGCTTTGAGGCATGTCGCGGTCAGAGCCCGCAGCTGTCTGGCCTCTCCGTTAGCGAAAAACATTTGGAAATTCTGCTCGACTGATCTATTCAATTCGATCAAGTCTAATCACCCAAATCAAACGTCAGCACTGCCCATGACCGGTCCTGCTTTTGGATTTACGCTTTGTGAATCTGATTTGCAGTGGAACTGCAAGGTGAGACAGGTGACTAGTGCCAAAGCCAAACTAAGCGTTGGCATCAGTGAAAGCGAAACAGGACGAAGCAAAATGGAAAAATCTTGTCCAGAACGCCAAACTTCACACGCCGACAAATGCATCACGTGTACACCTTCCCACTAAACTTCTTCTGCGCAACTGCCACGCTCTCTTCCCGACAAATAGGACAGCGCACCTTTGTGCGCTCCAGCTCTTTGTTGGAGAGTTGCCCTGGCTTGACACTCTTCCACTGTGTCTTGCCGGACTCCTTCAATTCTTTTGCGACTGCTTTGCGTCTGCATCCGGGGCAGAAAATGAGGTGCCCACATTCATGCATCACAAAGAGCGCTGACTTCTCGATACAAACGACACAAATTCCCTCTAGTTCCCCAGAGGCTTCAGCCCCTTCCGAGTCTGCATCCGCGACATCTTGCTTGACCCGGTTTTGCCTGTCACAGTCAAAATGTGAGGGCTCGAGAGAGCGTCTTGAACTCTCTGCTCTCTCTGCCGGTTGCTCTTTTGGCTCTTGGACATCAGCCTGTGCTGCATCCTGTGCTTTTGGCCAGGCGTCTTGACCACAGACCCCATCACCTGTGACAGCCTCCGGTCTCCTTTCGTGGCTTTCACCTGCAGTGTCTGTCACTGTCTTTGCTGGACATGTCTCGGGGAGCACAAACATGGGAAATTGGCCTTTGTACTCTGGAACCCGAGGTGCAGCTATCGGATCATAGTGCTCCACAAGGTTCGTGATTCGCCACATCTTGTGTGCTTGCAACTCTTCTGTAAAATGACTGGAACGGAAGGAGCGAACAATTCTGTTGCAGGCAGCCATTCGCAGGATCCTCTCTTTGCTCGGCAGGCATTTCTGTAAGTTGATTTTTTCCTCCTTCATCCAGTCCTCAAACTGCAGCACCTGGCAAGCCAAGAGATTTTGAAAAGCCATCCCAACTGATTTAAATAGGCTGAATGACACCTCTTACACAATTGTTTTGTTCTCAGAGCTTCCTTCGTGTACACGCGTAAGTCAGGGCGCACACATGTTCAATCATATCATGGTCGCCACCATTGTCTTTCCGAACTCTTCAGCTCACCGTGATTTCAATCAAAGAAAATCTCTCTTCGTCTGTTTCTGTGCCTGTGTCTGTATCCGGTGCTGCGCGTCTATCTCTGTGCCCATGGTTTTCCCTCTGTTGGTCACACCGTTGGTATACCGTTGGTATGTACAGACGTGAGGTGCGTGTTATGTGTCTATGTGTGAAGACCGCAGAGTCCGTGTCGGTATGCCATGTGGTGTAACCCGAGAAACTGGAATCTGCTGGAGTCATGAATCGAAATTCTTCCCCCAATGTAAACAAAGGATTCATCTGGTTTTAAATATATACTATTATTCTTTAACCGGATGTACTGTGAACCCCCCCTCATGATCATGGTCCTGTACACACGCTGTCGGATATAGTTGACATTTTGCTAGCATATAAATGATCGATGTAGGGTCCACCTTACCCCCACCCCCCCCTTTGGGGTGGGTAGGGGTTAGGTAGTGTGTCACTGGCACAACTAGTGTGTAAGGCAGTAAGTAGGTCGTATGTGGCCAGCATGAAAATGATCCATCTAGGGTCTACTTTACCCCCGCCCCGCCTGTGGGATGGGTGGGGTGTTATAGAGGTATCATAGTGTATAGATAGTATGTAGCTAGCACGTATGTATAGCACATGAGATCTTGATAGTAGCTAGCATATGGCTACTATAAAAGTACTTCATGGGCAGTAATACGATGTAAATAGGGTGATGAAAGGTGTAGCTTACCCCCCACGCCCCCCCTGTGGGATGGGTGGGGTGTTAAAGAGGTACCAGTCGTACCGCACAAGGCGGTGGCGGAAGTTTCAAAAATAGGAAACCTATAGGAGAGATTGGTTGTTGTGAATCAGGGATGGCAGAGCGAATCCACTGATGGACCGAAAGGTGCTTGAGGTCTCCTCTCTTTCTCTCTCTTTCTCTGACTATCTACTTACCTACCAACCTATCTTCTATGTATCTATCTATCTATCTATCTATCTATCTCTCTATCTCTCTCTTTCTCTCTTTCATCTAATTACCATTAGTTACCTATCTATCTATCTACCTACCTACCTACCTATCTATCTATCTATCTATCTCTCTCTCTCTCTCTCTCTCTATCTCTCTCTCTCCCTCTCTCTCTTTCATCTGTCTATCTGTCTAGCTGTCTACCTGTCTATCTATCTATCTATCTATCCATCTATCTATCTATTTATCTGTCTATCTGTCTACCTGTCTATCTGTGGTGCGTGTCATTCAATGTAATGTAGTGTAGTGTAGTGTAGTGTAGTGGAGTGTAGTGGAATGTAGTGTAGTGTAGTGTAATGTAGTGTAGTGTAATTTCGTGTAATGGAATGTAGTGGAGTGTAGTTGTGTAGTCGTAGTTATAGTTGTAGCGTAGTGGACTGTAGTGTAGTGTAATGTAGTGAAGTGTAGTGGAAGGTAGTGTAGTGTAATGTAGTGTAGTGGAGTGTAGTGTGCGTAGTGTAATTTAGTGTAGTGGAGTGTAGTGGAGTGTATTGTAGTGGAGTGTAGTTGTGTGGTTGTGTAGTTGTAGTTGTAGTTGTAGTAGAGTGTAGTGTAGTGTAATGTAGTGAAGTGTAGTGGAAGGTAGTGTAGTGTAATGTAGTGTAGTGCAGTGGAGTGTAGTGTAATGTAGTGTAGTGTAGTGAAATTTAGTGTAGTGTAGTGTAATGTAGTGAAGTGTAGTGGAAGGTAGTGTAGTGTAATGTAGCGTAGTGTAGTGTAATTTAGTGTAGTGGAGTGTAGTTGTGTAGTTGTAGTTGTAGTGTTGTGTAATGTAGTGTAGTGTAGTGGAGTGTAGTGTAGTGGAGTGTAGCGTAGTGTAATGTAGTGAAGTGTAGTGAAGCGAAGCGACATCTGAACCTCCAAACGTGGTCCGAACCCCTTGTGTTTTGTACATTTTGACTTCGAAATGTGCTTCGCGCTACAACAGCGTGCACTTTTTCGACATCTGCACCTCCAAAAGTGGTCCGAACCCCTAGTGCTTTTAACGTTTTGACTTCGAAATGTGCTTCGCGCCACAACGGCGTGCACTCTTTCGACATCTCAACAAGTTTGACTTCTAAACTTCCTTCGATCATGTAGATAGTGTATAGGTAGTATGTGGCTAGCACGTATGTATAGCACATGAGATCTTGATAGTAGCTAGCATGTGGCTACTATAAAGGTACTTCATGGGCAGTAATACCCCCCAAACCCCCCCTGTGGGATGGGTGGTGTGTTATAGAGGTATCATGTAGACAGTGTATAGGCAGTGTGTGGCTAGCACGTACGTATAGCACATGAGATCTTGATAGTGCTACTATAAAGGCACTTCATGGGCAGTAATACGTTGTAAATAGGGTGATGCAAGGTGTAGCTTACCCTCCACGCCCCTCCTGTGGGATGGGTGGGGTGTTATAGAGGTATCCTGTAGATAGTGTATAGGTAGTGTGTGGCTAGCACGTATGTATAGCACATGAGATCTTGATAGTAGCTAGCATGGCTACTATAAAGGTACTTTATTGGCAGTAATATGCTGTAAATAGATTGTATGGGCATATTTTAGGCAGTGGTGAACACTGCATCGAGGTATCCTGTTATGTAGTGCATAGGTGGCACGAGGCCAGCATGTAAGTATAGCATATGAGCATATGAGCATATGAGATGTTGACGGATGGTGGTAGATGGCTAGCCCCCCCCCCCGTGGGGGGGTTGCTGGGGGGGCTGGGGAAGGATAGCATTGGGGGGGGTTGCCGGGCGCCGGGCGGAACCATATCCATATATATATATAATCATGATTGCATACATAGAACATGCCCGATTTCAACCCTTCGGGTGTGGACAGAAAAAAACAAGATGCAGCCCACGAACCCGAATGCTCACACGTATGTTAATGGTACAGATGTCGAAACACATGGATATGCAGTCACGCAGAACACTTTTCTGCAATAGTTTATTTGAGCAGTCTTGTGCATATTTTCCTGTTACCAGTCTGCAGTGTGGAGTGTAAAGTGTAGGGTGTGGAGTGTGGAGTGTAAAGTAAGGAGTGTGGAGTGTAAAGTGTGGAGTGGGGAGTTTAGAGTGTGTAAAGTGTAGAGTGTGGAGTGTAGAGTGAAAAGTGTAGAGTGTAAAGTGTAGAGTGTGGAGTGTAAAGTGTAGAGTCTGGAGTTCGGAGTGTAGAGTGTGGAGTGTGGAGTGTGTAGAGTGTGGAGTGAGGAGTGTGGAGTGTGGAGTGTCGAGTGTGGAGTGTGGAGTGTAGTGTGTAGAGTGTGGAGTGAGGAGTGTGGAGTGTAGAGTGTGGAGTGTGGAGTGTGGAGTGTGCAGTGGGTAAAGTTTGGAGTGCGGAGTGTAGAGTGTGGAGTGTGGAGTGTGGAGTGTAGAGTGTGGAGTTGGAGTGTAAAGTGTGGAGTGTGGAGTGTAAAGTGTGGAGTGAGGAGTGTAAAGTGCAAAGTGTAAAGTGTGGAGTGTAAAGTGTAGAGTCTGGAGTGAGGAGTGTGGAGTGTAAAATGTAGAGTGTGGAGTGTGGAGTGGAAAGTGTAGAGTGTGGAGTGTGGAGTGTAAAGTAAGGAGTGTGGAGTGTAAAGTAAGGAGTGTGGAGTGTAAAGTGTGGAGTGTGGAGTGTAGAGCGTGTAAAGTGTAGAGTGTGGAGTGTGGAATGTAGAGTGTAAAGTGTAGAGTGTAAAGTGTAGAGTGTAAAGTGTAGAGTGTGGAGTCTAAAGTGTAAAGTGTAGAGTGTGGATTGTGAAGTGGAAAGTGTAGAGTGTGGAATCTAAAGTGCAAAGTGTAGAGTGCGGAGTGTGAAGTGGAAAGTGTAGAGTGTGGAGTGTGGAGTGCGGAGTGTAAAGTAAGGAGTGTGGAGTGTAAAGTGTGGAGTGGGGAGTGTAGAGTGTGTAAAGTGTAGAGTGTGGAGTGTGGAGTGTAAAGTGTAGAGGGTGGAGTGTGAAGTGGAAAGTGTAGAGTGCGGAGTGTAAACTAAGGAGTGTAAAGTGGAGTGTGGAGTGTGGAGTGAGGAGTGTGGTGTGTGTAGAGTGTAGAGTGCGGTGGAGTGTGGAGTGTGGAGTGTGGAGTGTGGTGCGTGGAGTGTAAAGTAAGGAGTGTGGAGTGTAAAGTGTGGAGTGGGGAGTGTGGAGTGTGCAGTGGGTAAAGTTTGGAGAGTGGATTGTGGAGTGTAAAGTGTGGAGTGTGGAGTATAAAGTGTGGAGTGTAGAGTGTGGAGTGAGGAGTGCAAAGTGTAAAGTGTGGAGGGTAAAGTGTAGAGTGTGGAGTGAGGAGTGTAAAGTGTATAGTGTGGAGTGTGGAGTGTAAAGTGTAGAGTGGAGTGTAAAGTGAGGAGTGTGGAGTGTAAAGTGTGGAGTGAGGAGTGTGGAGTGTGTAAAGTGTAGAGTTTGGTGGAATGCGGAGTGTAGTGTGTAGAGTGTAGAGTGTAAAGTGTAGAGTGTGAAGTGTAGAGTGTGGAGTGTGGAATGTAAAGTGTAGAGAGTAGAGTGTGGAGTGTGTAAAGTGTAGACTTTGGTGGAGTGTGGAGTGTAGAGTGTGGAGTGTGGAGTGTAGAGTGTGGAGTGTAGAGTGCGGAGTGTAAAGTGAAGAGTGTAAAGTGTGGAGTGCATTGTTGCGCCAGGCACACAAAAGAACTTTCGACACGGCATAAAACAGGTTGGAATGTCATAAAGTGCCATGCCTGCCACGCAAAACGATATGATAACCTGCTTGAAACCCTTCGAAAAGGAGAGATTTTGTAACTTCCCCCATAGACAGGAAAACCAGAGACTCGAGACGAGACACGTGGGCGCAGCAAAACAAGCATTTCGCGCGAGACTTCGCCTAATTTTGACACTTTCGGCACGGTATAAA